TTTTAAGGCTAAAGTCACCTGAACGAAATTTTCTGAACCATCGTTGACACTTACGAACGTTCAGAACATTTCCGTAAACTTCTTTGATATTCTTTGTGGCTACAGAGGCGTTGTTTCCCTTCTTGTATTATTCAAACAGCATAACATGCCGAATGTGTGTCTCGTCGTGTGTCATCACTATAAGGGATAAGAGTATAGTAAACTTTACAAATCATATAGGCTACACTAACGTGACAGTTTAGGCGGTTCGTTTAACTATTATACGTGATGTGCGTTTTTTAGGGGGTGGTTAATGAAAGTGTTCCAAAACGCGACATTAACCTCTTGACGACCTAATACTTTAATACTGTTAAAGGTTTCGAGTTGTCCATTACTGATCCTCATCTGTTTTTATTAATAAGTTTTTAAAGATACTTTTACGAGTGTGGTGTATGCTCAGTATTGTCGGTAAAACATCTGTTTACTTCAGGCAACTTGTGCTAATTGTTTGTTTTCACAGCAGCATCAATAGTTATTTAAACTTTCTTCGCGGTTTTCAGCTTGTTTTCTAAGATTGAATGGAAATGTTATTTTCAAAGTTATCAGCATGCGTTATTAGGACTACTCTAAATACGTTATTTCTCGCCTTATCTGTGGAATGTTACAATACTGCCTCTCAGAACGAAATTTTTATTCTTCTCAAAAATCGACGTTTCCACAACAACCACTGTACAGTGTAAAAAAGGCTTAAGCACACGAGTATCTTCTGCACTGAATTACTTAACTTCACATCCACAGTTATACATTTCTTTTTCGATTTGATATCGTTAGATTTGTTACGAAATTAATTTTTTTTCGTACTACGGTGCAAGTACCCAACCACGTGCTGCTATCATTCCAAGGCTAATCGTGCGTTCATGAACTATGACATTGGTGACTTACAATCGCATCATAGTGACGTACGTCGTGACAACAAACCTTCGTTTGATAGTTTCTCGTACAAAATATGAAACTTGGTTTGTTTTTTCGCAGAAATATAACACTAGTGTAGCGTCCAATTAATATCTTTCAGTGATAAACGTATGTTTATTAGCATGTACATTTTCCAACGTAGTAATGACTCAAATGACGTCACACAAACGCAAATCTGTGATTAGTGAATGTTTAAACAATTGCATATATTAACACGTTAATTAAAACAGTAGATACGGATAATGAAACAAAAGCAAATAAATTGTAAAGTTGTAGTGCGCATCAATAGTTCTCAACTTCAAATTAAAATATCACCATAAAACACGCTTTTAAAAATTAATTTATGTACAGTTAGGCTTAGCTCGCAGGTTTGCTATCAGCTTTCAGATCGTGGTATCTTCAGTCTTAACCTGATCTGTGTCATCAGGTGTAGAGTCGATGGGTGTTCAACTTGCGAATAGTGATCGAAGGTTTTATGGAGTGCTAATATATCCATTAACCCTGAATTACCAACTGGTTTATACCACCAGTTATTGATGAGGACATGGCTTGGTGGTTGTGGCGCTCGACTCGCAATCTGAGGGTCGCGGGTTCGAATCCCCGTCACACCAAACGTGCTCGCCCTTTCAGCCGTGGGGGCGTTATTATGTGACGGTCAAACCCACTATTCGTTGCCCAAAGTGTAGCCCAAGAGACGGCTGCCTTCCATCTAATCTTTCGCTGCTAAATTGGGGACGGCTAGCGTAGATGGCCCTCGTGTAGCTTTGCGTGAAATTAAAAACAAAACAAAAAAAAACTGTTGTCGAATGTGCTCACTCTATGGGGTTGTGCCCACCAGTGGCACAGCGGTATGCCTGCGGACTTATAACGCTAGAAATCGGGTTTCGATACCCGTGGTGGGCAGAGCACAGATAGCCCATTGTGTAGCTTTGTGCTTAACTTCAAACAAACAAACTATGGGGTTGCTGACAGGGCTAGCCACCCGAATGTACAAATTCTTAGATTACAAAGATATCGGCCGATCCTAAACTATATGGGGGTGGGGGCTACCGATAAAGTCCACGTATTACATCGTATTTGGTAATTTTACGTTTTTGTTGGTTACAGCACTTCATGACCGAAAAATTACTTCTGTAAGGAACTCCTTGCAGTAATTAGTGAGGTTAATCGGAATATTGGTGGTAATATGGTTTACAATTAACTTCCTGGAACCACAAGCATCTTGTTGCGTAAATAATTTCGAAAGTCGTGCTTAAAAGGCCGATGGACACCATCAGTAATTCTAGAGTTAACCAGTCGGTGTTACCATGTGTTGATATTTAGTGTTAACTTTGTAGTTGACACAAATCTTTATTCTTACAACTCGAAGTATTCTGTCTGCAGTTGGCGAGTATCCAATCTTTACTTTGTAGTTGACGCAGGTCGGAGTATTCTGTCTGTAATTACTGGGTGTGGAACTGGAAAACTCGTTTCTTTAGTAATAAAATATTAAACCTAAATAAATACCACGTATTAGAAATTTGTACACTAACGACTGTCCGTTAATAAATTCGTAATATGCAGCTCAAAACTTTGCTTGTTTTAAAGTTAATATTGTATTTAGAATAAGATTAAGTTTAACATTGTACCGAGCTTGCAAATTCAAGATTTTCTGAACGCGGGCCTGTTTGAGCACTATATACTATTCCAGTAAACAGAAAACCCGCTTGGCTGGTTGTTCAAAAATAATTTAATAGAACAATAAGTTAGTACTAAACCTAAAATGATGTCAACATTCTGCAATACGTAACGTCTAGCTCAGATAAATTCTATATACATTTTAATCACTGTCATTGAATAAACTGCTTAGTCTTATGGAAGTACTTATGATAAATAATATATATATATATATATATACACACACACACACAGCTGTCATGTTATTAAAAAAAAAGTAATTTAGCTTCTTAATATGTTTTAATGAAAATATTTGCGGTAAATTAATTTACAAAATGGCGCTTTTCGTGACTTGTATTTTATAATTAAAATTTATCATTTCCATTTTAAGACATATTTTAAATATTACTTTCGTGTTTTAACAGATGATGGAAACAGCTTGTGTCATTCTGCATCTGTCGCCATGTGGGCAGTGGAGGACCATAATCTGATCCTCAGGAAACTTGTCTTTAACGCTCTGGAAAGCGACTGCCATACTGAACTCAAAGAACGTTGGATATACGACAGACGAAAACAACGAATAAAGGCTGGAATCACCGAAGAGGAACAAGAGATGGTAATTAAACGGCACGAGGATACTAACGTTAGGAAGAATTAATTATACTTTCTAAAGGCTCTTTTATATCTTATATCCTACATAGGTCAACGTCACCCTTTGTTAGAATGGTGTGACCTCTGATTACTCCTGAGAAGTAGCGTTTTAATCTAACATTTCTCTGTTTTATATCGACGTTTCTCTTTATTTTTTTTAGTCCCCACAAAGAATTTAATTGACTGGTTCCATTATTGGAACCCGCTGGCTTAGAGCTTAAATGACTGGCAATCTTATTAAGCCCCCTCCCCCAAATTAGTATCGGGTTAATCTGCTTTTCGCCTTAATAGAACTTTGGTTCAGCGTACAAAAAAAACAAAAGCTACAAGATGCATGAACTTGTTTTGTAGTATCTCATTTGTCAAGAGTTGAACAGAAATTAGTTTATTTCGGAAGGAAGAAAAGAGTGACATGCATGATTGTCGAGTTCATTCTGTTGGAATAAGCGAGACCTGGTAATTCTTCTGGTTAAGGAAGGACTGAAGTCGGTATCATTTTCTGAAACAGTATTGGACAACGCGAAAACTGGGATTTTTTTGATTTTTTTTCAATATGATCTTGGAAGAGCCTTTGTTCATCAATGTTGAAACTCGCCATTGTGAAATGGGTTTGATCAATAATATAGTAATATAATAAATAGTAATTTACCCTTCTAAAAAAAAATCTGAATCCTTTCTACACCATGATAACTTTTTTCTTTTAAACTGTTAAATCGTATTTTCCTGGGTCAGTTGCTAGCAGTTAGAGGCATGCCCCCCTCCCCCTGTAGAAGACATTTTTTGTCATTTTGCGATTATGATAAACTGACGATTACTTTGTAAAACCGTTCACATATAATGACCTTTAACAACGATACTCCTATATAAGTGTGCACCCATTAACATATCCCTGTTGAAGTCTTAGAAACTGGTGCTCTTGCCCATTGCCTTGCAGATTAAATGTACGGTGACTATATTTCTGCGCATATAAGGCTCAAGCTGTCAATTGATTTCACTTTTTTTTATATATAGGAGTATTTACTGTTTGTCATAGGAATGCAGAAGGTCGTAATAATGTTTCCAGTTCGTGTATATAGGATCATTACCTTTTGTTGCATATTGCCTACATGGAGCACATATTGGCGCTACTTTGGCCAATTTAGCCAATGCACTTTTAGTTTATCTTCTAATAAATTTGTGTTATAACCGACAATTTATAGTATAATAAAGCATTTGTCCCTTCGTTTTTATTTTCAAACCTGTCCGAAGGATGACGTATTTTACAAATGAAATCCTTTGCAGTAAATCTTGCATCATCATTGTCTATAAGCTATATTTTTAAAGTTATTTCGTTTTGTTTACATGCTCTTTTTTTATATTTAAAGGTATTTTATCTTGCATTAGGTGGAGAATCAAGAATGGGATGTTCAGTTAGAATTAGCTAAAGACACAAACAAGTCATCCAGACCAACTCACCCGATTTTTGAGCCACTGGAAGAATTTCACGTTTTCGTTCTTGCAAATACACTTCGTCGTCCAATCATTGTCTTGTCTGATTGTGATCCAAATTACGAAGCTCCGTGTGATACGTCAGACGGATTTTCGGGAATATATTTGCCTGTTTTGTGGAAGTCGTCAGAATGTGTTCACTCGCCCTTGATTCTTGGGCACAGTGATGGATATTTCAGTCCCCTTGTGAGTTGGGGTGGGGGCCATATTCCTGAGGAAGCACCCCCAGACGTTATTCCTCTGGTTCTGGAAGATCAAAGATCACTACATATTCGATTTTTAACAAAGGAAGAGGAGATGTATCGTGCACAGCTTCTGAAAGACTACTTGGTGGTAACTGAGGTTGAATACCTGAAGCCAAACAAAGGGGCAGTAATGATAGCGGCTGCCCAGTTAATCATTCGGACATTAGATGAAACAACTCGCTTGCTGCTCGAGTTCTTCCAGCTACGACAGAAATCAAAAGTAGGTATTGGTAAAACTTCATCAAATACCACCACCCAGGCTAATCGGAAGGTTTCCAGGTTTCGCTGTGGTAATAAAGAATGTACCAACCTTATCGAAAAGGATCATACGTTTCCATACTGCACCGAATGCTACGAAGTGAAGAGTGTTAAAGCAGCTAAAAATTCTCCAGTGCGTCGAAAAGTCAACTATGCACCTCCTTGTTCACCACTGACCCAATTAAATATTGATTGTGCCACGCCCGGTTGTCCTTATTTGGCTTCTGTAAACGCCTTTCCATTCTGCCAACGATGCGAAGAATCTTCGACGAAACAGAGCCCAGGAGAACATACAGTTAAAGAAGTTCAAAAGAAGGAAATATCGGTCGAAGACAGATGGTGGAAACTAGCTCTGGGTGTGTACGACGCCGATCTCGTTTGTGGACAAGTATCGGACACTGATTCTGCATCAAAATTAACAGAGGGCGCCACTTATTCTACTACGGAAAGAATCCCCTTTGTTCATGAGGAAGAAGAATTTGCACTGCGCTGGGTTTCATCAGAAGAGCCGATAGCTCAGTCTATTCCTGTACCACGTAGAAAGATATCGGCAACGGGTAATCGCAGCATCCTCGCAGGCCCTTCTCAAGAACCACCTCGACGAAAGATATCTGCAAGTGGAGCTAGAAGTATCGTCACTCCTCAAAGACGAATATCCAGAGAACAACTCGATCACGCCAGAAATATAATCGTCGTTGGAACCAACGAACTAGGATAGCCCGTGGTACACCTAACTAACGTGACGGCAGGAC